CGGCCTTTAATTACTTATCACAACTTTACTTTCAGTTAAAGAGAAAACTTACCCAAACCACAAGAGAGCCATTGGAAAGGCTATCGCTCTCTTCAACCAAAAAAAAGCTCCTTACAAACGGCGCACGCCAACCAACTGAATGATGACGGCAAAGCTGCTACTGCAGGCAACGAACCACGCAGAAGGAATGAAAGCGAGAGAGACGAGCAGAGTCAGAGGCTGCGACGATACATAGTGGCGTTGATGGCAATGGAAGCGGTCTCTACGGCTGTGGCCTCTTGTATGCCGGATTCATTGATGCCCAAATATAGGTCAACAATGTGCACTGGGCGAAAAATTCAAATGCAATGCAACGCTGAACAACGAAGTAAACAACAACAGAAATAAACGAAACGTATAAGAAGCATGTGAGCATGTGTATTGCCGAAGCGAGCTGAAACGAACGTATGTACGTGAGGATGGCGTACGCAGGTAGCCTACGGACATTCATACATACGCGAGCGAGGGCAGAGGTGAAGTGTGTTGAAGAAACAAAAGAAGACGAACAAAAAAAAAAATGCGAACAGAATGAAGATGTGGCCTCAAGAACAATGTAATGAAAATATGTTTTGATATGCGAGCGTGTAAGTGGAAATTGTTAAGTGCCCAACGTGCGCCTATTTTCATGCAACGTATGAATGTATGTCGAAATTTCAAATGAAAAAAAGTCAAGTATACGCCCAGGTGGCATGGCGATAGTAAAGTCAGCGCATGCAATTCCACATACATGCTTATCTACATGTGTATGCGATATTTTTGTTGTTTTTGGTTTTGTATTGCACTCATTTTATGTCACGCTACGCCAAGCAAATCACCGACGACAGGTGGATGTGGAACTCACAAAATCAAATATACCAACACGTGCATTGCAGCGTTAATATACGATTGGGGCAATACAATGCAATGCAATTGAACCGCAGCCCAGCCAACTGATGGCAAAATGCAAAATGTGTGTTTTAACGTATTGCGCATTTAAATTTTCCACGCTGCGAAAGCCATGTTAGCGGTTTACCAACGCATACAACGCATAACAAACCCACCGGCAGTAAACTGGTTTTCAGCGAACACTGCCTGCGGCTATGGTTCTATAGCTGCGACTGCCGCACGGGGGGTGGCGCGCCATCAACGAGGGGGTGGGTGCGCGTGTGAGCTGCTGATTTTATACGAGATAGCGCGATAGTTTGACATTTTATTAGGTCAGGCATGCAGCTGAAATGCACACCTATGCCACATTTTGTACGTGCAAACAAATGCGAAGCGGATATGCATAGCGCATTCGATATTTATGCATTCGTGCCGAGGTGAAGAGTTGTAAGCTAGCGAATTTTATGTACATATACATATGTAAGTACATATGTGGCATACGAGTACCTACATGCGGGCATGCAATGCGGTGCGCTTGAGCGCAAAACTCCCATTCGGTGAAATGGCTTACTTTTCCTACTTTTCACCTCATATTGCCGACTTTTATGCGCTTATGAAGGCGTAAATCGTTGGAATTCTTTCCTTCGTTGATCCTCTTTTCTTCTTATTTCTGAGTTCTTATTTCTGTGGTTATTGCTTTTACGTGCGAATAATTTTCTAACATTATCCGCATGCAGCAGTTTAAATTCTGCAAAATAGCGGCTCGAAAATATGGTGGGTAAGCAACAAAATGTGATGGAGAGATTTTCAAATTGACTGTTCTTGCCACTCGCTTGCTATTTTGTATTTTGAAATATGCTGATATAAGGAAGGTTAAATATCTTTTATATTGCTATCGACAGTTGGAGACAGGAGGCTCAAGCGATTTCATTCTGAAGACTTAATATTTAATACATATATGCAGCTTCTTCGATATTGAATAGCTTCAGTGCCAGTATTGAGTTTGAAGGTGGCTTGTACGCATGAGCAACGCAGAAAATAAAATTTTTTCCATAAATGAACAGTTCACCGTAATGATAAACGATCTGGAAGCTGAAATGATCCTGGCTTGCTCTATCTTAGAGTTAACAATCGTGATTCTCACTGTAACGATTTGTCATCCCAACACGCTGATTCCCCTTTCATTCTTAATGTTAAGTTCTGAAAACGTTTGTCCTCTATTTAGCAGAACGTTCCACAGACTTTTGTCCTTATATGACCACTCTCCATACTTTCGTTGTCATTGGAAACATTCCCGTCCGTTTCGTTCTTATTCTGTTTTTCTTGATATCTTCCAGGAGAGTTTTGTTCGCATTTTCTCATGTTTCTCATTTTGTTCCCACTGTAACCGCTCTCAATACTCTTGTTCCCGTTTGGTTCTGTTGTGTGAACGTCAAAATTAATAAAAAAAAGTTAAGGGGTCCCAACCAGGGCACTATGTTCTATTAGCTACTATTTGCTGGCCAAAAGACATTTTTTAAAGTATCGATATATCGATTTCTTTTTGTCCCTTCACTAAATCAATTCTCGTGGCATTACATTTTGTTCTCATGCAACCAAAACCGGAATGCGTTTTCGGTCTCTAATACAATCATGAAAATTGGAGCCATATTTCGTAAAACTGTGTTTTTTGCTTTTTCTCTGACGTCAGGTTTTTTTCTAAAAGGAGTTTGAAATTTCAGAGACATGATTAATCCCAAAAATTCTTTAAAAAATTCAGTCCAATGTAGAATAACCACCAAATCAAAGAGAAAGTTTTGAGGGAATAAAAAAAAATTTAAATAGTTTGGTTCACAAGGACGAATAGGTATTGAAAATTTCCTCTTAATTAATTTTATTTTATGAGCTTATAATGCTAGAAGGAAAAAAATTTGAGGGTGTGGTCGAGCGCATATTAGTCCTTAACATATAATTTTTTCAAAAATATGTAGGTATTAAAAATTTAAAGGAGATTAAAAGATAAAATGTTAAAATGGCATTTTCAATACCTGCTCGTCTTTGTGCACCAAAAAATCAAGTCTGTTTTAATTGCACAGAATTTTCTCTTTAATTTAACACCAATACTGTTTTACTATATTGCAATAAATTTTTTGAAATAATCATGTTTTTGAAATTTCAAAGTCCTTTAAAAAAATCTTCATGTCAGTGAGAAAAGCTAAAAACGCAGTTTTATAATATTTGGTCCATAGTTTCGCAAATCATTTTTGTTTGTGTGAATACATTTTTTAAATAATTTTTTCAAATAATAATATTTCTTAAATTTCAAAGTCCTTTAAAAAAATCTTCATGTCAGAGAGAAAAACCAAAAACGCAGTTTTAAAATATTTGGGGCCCATAGTTTCACAAATAATTTTTTTGTGTGTAGAATTGACTGCCGCACGGTGTTATCAATCCAAATGGTTTTGAAACACAGGGCTGTTTAAAAAATATAATTCCATTTGAATTAATAGAATTTGGTAATGGAAATATATATGGGCAAATCTAAGGAACCGTGCTATTTTGTTTTGTTCACCTTTAGATTAATTATAATAACAAATTTGATGTGTTGTTTTTCCTTATCTGTTTTTTTTCTTATTTTAATACTGCCATTTTAATTTTTATAAAGAAGTCATTGTGATAAAGAATTTGAAGTGTTACTTTGCTTACTTCTACAAAACTACCAATTTCCTCTACCTTCAATATATAGGAGTGCGTGATAAGAAAATAAATCTATCTCAGTAACCACTGATTAAACTTTCTAAAAATATTTTTAGCTTTGCAGGCGTTCAGGCCCACCTCTGCTTTCACTCTTCGTGCAAATCCGCTGGAAAGGTTAGCGTTTTTCTTATTTCACTAAACTCAAAAATTCGAGCTTCACAACAATAACATAGAAAATTTTCATCATTAGAGCGCTTAAAGTCAAGATTTTTTAGTAGATATACTTTTTGGCACAGTAGGTAGGTACTGCAATTGCTATGCGATAAGTTTTGTCATCGGTGTGGAAATAGGGCCATATGTGATTATATACTTACTTACCTAAATACGGAGACTCTAATGTGCCAGGTGCCTTTTTAATTTTATCTCATTTAACTAACGGGTGATTTTTTTGAGGTTAGGATTTTCATGCATTAGTATTTGACAGATCACGTGGGATTTCAGACATGGTGTCAAAGAGAAAGATGCTCAGTATGCTTTGAAATTTCATCATGAATAGACTTACTAACGAGCAACGCTTGCAAATCATTGAATTTTATTACCAAAATCAGTGTTCGGTTCGAAATGTGTTTCGCGCTTTACGTCCGATTTATGGTCTACATAATCGACCAAGTGAGCAAACAATTAATGCGATTGTGACCAAGTTTCGCACTCAGTTTACTTTATTGGACATTAAACCAACCACACGAATGCGTACAGTGCGTACAGAAGAGAATATTGCGTCTGTTTCTGAGAGTGTTGCTGAAGACCGTGAAATGTCGATTCGTCGCCGTTCGCAGCAATTGGGTTTGTGTTATTCGACCACATGGAAGATTTTACGCAAAGATCTTGGTGTAAAACCGTATAAAATACAGCTCGTGCAAGAACTGAAGCCGAACGATCTGCCACAACGTCGAATTTTCAGTGAATGGGCCCTAGAAAAGTTGGCAGAAAATCCGCTTTTTTATCGACAAATTTTGTTCAGCGATGAGGCTCATTTCTGGTTGAATGGCTTCGTAAATAAGCAAAATCATGCGATTTGACGCCTTTAGACTATTTTTTGTGGGGCTACGTCAAGTCTAAAGTCTACAGAAATAAGCCAGCAACTATTCCAGCTTTGGAAGACAACATTTCCGAAGAAATTCGGGCTATTCCGGCCGAAATGCTCGAAAAAGTTGCCCAAAATTGGACTTTCCGAATGGACCACCTAAGACGCAGCCGCGGTCAACATTTAAATGAAATTATCTTCAAAAAGTAAATGTCATGGACCAATCTAACGTTTCAAATAAAGAACCGATGAGATTTTGCAAATTTTATGCGTTTTTTTTTAAAAAAAAGTTATCAAGCTCTTAAAAAATCACCCGTTAATTAACTAACGCGTTAATTAACTCTGGCTTCTCTTCAGTTGTCGAATAAATCTTTCGCCTTTTACTAAAGATTTCCGTGGAGAGGAAAATTTTGAGGCAAAAGCTTTTCTTAACTTTTAACTGGCGGTCACTAAAATATTAAAATATTTTATTTAACTCGTAAATAATTTGGATTCGAAATTTCTAAAGAGGTGGCAGCCTTTTTAATTTTTGTCAAACGAAAGCTTTCTTAAAACTTTTTTCTTTAATATACATATTAAAATTCAATTCAGTAGATTTTGACTTTTAGAACAGGTGGCAACCCTCTTTAAAAATATTAGAAATAAAGCTCTTTTAAATCTCGCGTATTTAATATCAAAAGATTTGTATGTGTATAAAAAAATAACCAAGTTGATTTTAGTTTTCTGAGAAAGTGGCAACACATTTCGTTTTACTCCTGCCTCGTTACAATATTGTTTTTAACTTATTAATGAATTGATTTAAATCTTTGAAAAAGGTGGCAACTCTACTCAACAAATATGCTATGTATATGTTATACCCTACACAGAAAATGAATTTTATGAGAAGCGTTTTCATGACAAAAGTACACACGAAGGTTTGCCATTGCCTATCGGGGGCGACCGCTGTAAGAAAAACCTAGGCCGGACCAGAGATCGAACCCAGGTCCTATGATAGTACGCACCTCTTATAAACTATAAAAATATTTAAGCCATAGCCATGATTTTCATAAACTAAAACTCCCGTGACGAAACTGCGGTTACATTTCTTTCCGGCTTGAATACGTACATATCCAAATATGTTTAAAAACTAGCGTTGGACTCTGCAGTTTCACTCGCCATAAGCATTGCTTACAATTAGTACTCCGACTGTCGCAGCCGTTGCGGTTGCAGATCCAACGACCAAAGGCACCCGCCACCGCAATTGTTATTGTTCCTTTTATTGTTTGAACCTTTTTTCTTTATCTTTTACTAGCTGCTTAGTGGCCTTGCAGCAATTCATTGACCTCAAAAAAGTCAGTTGGCGAGAAATTTCCACAATGCACATAAAACGAGTGCACCAAGCGAACGGCGAAAAAAAGTGTCGGGGAAGGAGTTGGGTTGGGGCTGCAAAAGAGAGTGTCTGCAATTCTCTGCTGCTGTTCATGCTTTTCTACTAACATCTAGTAGCGTATACAAACACTCATGCTTCTGTGTGTGTGTGTGTAGAAAAGCGTGAAGGAGTCGCTGTGACTATGTTTAGCGCATAATTGCAATCGCTATGCAGCACGCAGCTCCCTTGGTGTTCGCGAATATAAAAGCGCGCTTCGTTACACTTAATGAAATTTAGGGCCGTTTTCTCATCTAACCTTTAGTTTACCTGTCACTTTATCGTCTCGATATACGAGTTTTCGTTTTCTCATCAGCGCATTAATTTCTCGAACCGATAAACTGTTGCTCACCCGATGCAACCTTTAAAATTTGTACCCAACTTTAAATTTTGGTTTGGTTTTGGTTCATGAGTCAGATATATTAGATATTTCAACCAAGGTTTTGGTTTTTGCTAGCAGTTGCTCTTGCTCTATATTTGCTTATGTTGCATTGCCAACCTTTGAAATTTTATGACGAATGTAGTGAAGTTTCACTCTCGGAAATGTAGTGAAGTTTCACTCTACGGAACAACAAATTTATTTTTACAGGTAAGATAAGACAACGAAAACACTTTAAAGTGAGGAACAATTTATCTGCCCTGTTAGTAAAGGCAACTTTACTGCTTACATTAGAAAACGGCCCTTAGAAAAATATATCTAACTTTTGCCAGTGTCGCATTGTCTGGTCGAGGGACAAAGTTAGTAGTGGCAGTGAAAATGGAAGCAGCAGCAGCAGCAGCAGCATCAGCATTGCAACGACAAACAGCATGGCTCCTGAAGTAACCAACGCGATAGAAAACGTTGGCATAGTTTCCAGCGTAGAATACATATAATAGAACGCGCATATGCCACAAGAACAGTGCGTTAGCGGTGAACTACCCAGCGACCACCCACCTAACTGCCGCGCTGATTACTCACATACATACGTGCTGTGGAGCTAACAAACAATGCATTACTGACTGAACTTAGCGCTTGCCAACGGAGTGCCGTTGTGATAGTGGCAGTACAGACGTGCATATATGCACATATATGTACATATGTATGTACATTAGCGTGGGCCGAAAATCTGCTTTTTTAGAATTTTGATTGGTAATAGCAAAAATATGGTTCATTATGCTTTAAAAAAAAATCTGTGTGATATTTGGAATTTTTTGGTCAATATCCTAGGTTCGCCCAAGTCAATCAAAGTTCAATATGCTCAAAAAATAAAAATTAATAAATAAATTAATTAATACATCTTTTTTACTAAAACTGCAATAATCTTCTAAAGTATTGGTCCTACATAATTTGGTATATGGACCTGTTTTGTAGAGAATCGAAGTTAGCTATGAAAAAAATTTTTTAGTACTTGAACTTTGATGGACTTAGGCGAGCCTAGGATATTGACCAACAATTTTCACACTTAACACAGATATTTTTTAGAGCATAATGAACCATATTTTTGCTATTACCAACCAAAATTCTAAAAAAGCGGATTTTCGGCCCTTGCTAATATACATTAGGGTGGTAAAAAAAGAAGAAGTAAAGTCGCAATTTTAATGCTTTCAATTTTGAAATCCAAAACTATTTAGAGGTCGCTCAAAATTGTCCATGTATTTTATATGGGGAAAAAACAATTTTTCGTATAAATGGTATAGAATTCTTGAAAATCAATATTTTTCGATCGGAAAACTCTTTCTCATTAAAAGACTTTTAGTAATAACACCAAATTATTTATTTAGGCATTTTTTAATATTAACTCATTTTATAAGACCCTTCAACCACAAAAACTGCAATGGCGGGCCCCATAAAAAATCGCTACTATTAAAAATTTTTTAAATAAACAATTGAGTATTATTACTGGAAGTCTCTTGAAGGGAAGTTAAGTTTTCTGATCGAAAAATATTAAATTTCAAGAATTCCATACCATTTCAACAAAAAATGTCCGACATCACTTTTTTCCCACATTTTGGGACCACCCTAATGTACATACATATGCATAAGTTTTCGTACCTTCGATATTAGCATTTTGCAAACATTTATTATCCGCTTTTAGTTTGGTGTACGCGGACAGTTTTAATTGGTTTGGGTTTGACACTACACGCATATTAATTAAACTGGAAATAGCATTTTTGAATTTTGATCAGCTTTTAATTAAAACTGCAACTTTTTCTATATGTAAAGCGATACGAACTTAAATGCGAACGAAGATACTCAAATGAATGATCTTAATTTAAGAATAATCCCAAAAGTTAATTATCGAATTGGCGGCCGCCGTAGCTGAGTCGTAAGTGGTGCGCACTACCGCTAGACGGAACCAAAGATTAATGCCTAGCTCAAGAAATATCCGAAAAACAAGTATTTTCTAAAACTTTCGTCCATCTGGAGGCTATAGGGAAAGGCATATGGCTGGAAAAAACGATTCTCATAAGAAACTATTTGCTATTTGGCCCACCCATTGCTGTGGTAATTTCAAAACGCACAGCATAAATTGGAGTACAAGCCTCTCAAAGAACTTCGCAAGGTATCTTGGCTGAGTTCTAAATAGTTCATGTCCTTCTAGGTATTATAATCTTAGGTAGCAAGGTCTTAAACTTTTTAGGGCCTTACAACGGTATTAATGTGCTCTGCTATTTTTTGCATTGCTCTGAGTAAACGATTCCCAGGTTTGGCCAGTGCCTCATTACAAGTCCAGAAGCGCCTCGAGTGTTGCAGATGATGTTGTTCTCGGTTGTTCTGGTGGATGGAAATTGCTGAGCTCGGCCTCTTTTCCCAGACTGTGTCAACATATGTTAAGATGGGCTTAGAAATTTTTAATATCGCACATTCACATTGCCCAATTTTTTTCTCATTATCTCTTGGAAGGTATAAATGGAGCTTTTGTAATATGTTTATCTAAGTACAAATTTACTCAGAGCTTTTCATCAAAGTTAACTCACAGATGATTGTCTTTCTTAGAGCACTGTATCTAGTCTCCTTAAAGATATGGTTCTAAAAATGTGTCCCCTTTTCTTTTTCTGGAAAAATTTCTATGTTATTGTTCTTTGGGTTTACGTTTAATTATTTAGTATGTACTGTAAGATCTATAATATGGAGGACAATGTTCTGCGCGCAGCCTTAAACATCGCAGTTATTTTTTAACAAGTTGGCATCGTATTTCGCATACATGAGTACGATAGACTTTAACAGAAGGTAAATGCGCCTCCGCATACTAGACTGCTGTGGCGGCAGGAAACCGGTTTTGTATGGGCAGGAGGGGAAGAAAGTGCGAATTTACTCTGTTCATATCAGTCTGGGATAATCCTAGATTGACACACATAGACAATACATTTTGCATGCTTTCGTAGCTTCTCGGATCTATAACGGATGTATTGCTCCTGAATTTAGAGACGCTCTTCCTAGAATAAAGACAAGGACTCTTCCTGGAATAGAGGCATATTATTTTTAATGCAAAGGAATTTCTATAAGAAAAGTATATATCTCTGAAATGCTGTCTTGGAATCTCGATTGTTATTATAGCAGCAAAAAATTTTTGCGTTATGATGCTGGAGTGATACTTTATGGCAAGATATAAATCTGGGTCGTTCGGGTTACGTAGACCCGACTATCGTGGGAACGGGTATATCTCCATGATTTTAATTAGGAAAGATGGGTCAGTATAACTTTGGCTGGTAGCCTGGCTTGAACTCATCTGGATATAACCGTAAATGTTTCGAAGAAAAGTAAATAAAATGCAAAGAACCAACTTTAAGAAATCCCTTAACTCTGAGGCGTTGATACGTGGAGATTATTTAAAGTCAAATGGAAAGTACTTTCTTGTATCTAAAAACATCCTTTCATTTCGATTCAGTCCATTTGTCAACTGATTGAAACTCTCAACATAGTGACGCACACTTAACATGCTGCACGTGCTGTACTCGTGATTTAGGCACATGTGCGCATATACATGTATCTACACATGTATGTTTATGTATGTGTTGCCAAAATAAGACTGTTACCCATTAAATGTTAAGTGTGTCTCATGGCGGATGAATGTCACT